TCTGCAGAAATATTTTCGATCAAATTGAATTATAGACTTGAAAGCTTGTCCGCAGCAAATTTTGCTTAGGAATTTGGATATTTATTTTAGCAATAGTACACAAGTCTATAAACACATTTTTTATAGGGTTTCGAATATGATCTTTCGAATAGTGAGGTTCTCGAAATGCAAAAATATTTTTTATGGATTTTCCAGAGATCCGGTCTCCAGAAAATCCGCAAGGAATTACTTTTGAGTACTGTAAATCTCATCATTAGAAAGAGCATATTCGAAAACCTATAGAAGAACGTGTTTATAGGCTTTCATACCACTCCTACAGTATATGTCCACCTGCTCTATAGAAAAATGCCCACTGTGTGACATGTTCACTTACTTGGCTTGGAAATGCTGTATCTTGCAATTCAGTATCACCTTCAGCATATGTTAAGATAGTTCTTAACGATTTTCTTAAAAATATTTCATTAAATGCTTGACTTTGTCCAACTAGCCAAGATAATGACATTGTTACTTGCATTTTTACCCGAGAAAAATTCTAAAAACCAACAACAAATATCAGACTACAATAAATAACTCTTGATAATATTCGTACATTTCCAATTTCAAAATTTTGTCTCATTAACAAATAGAGTGATGCACTAGCATGTGAACGTATTGTACTTAAACATGAACTACAATGTTTTAATAAACGTAAACATAAATCGGCACATTGTTCAGTGTCTTCTTCAAATAATAATTCTGGAAACTAGAAAAACATATATAATCAATAATGTAATAGATTTCTCAATAAATGATGATATATTCTTATCTTACTTTATAAACCATGGCTCGTTGATGTGAAAATAAATTTTGTAATATCCATGTACTCTGATTTAAGGCAAATGAATGTAACAGAATACGCAATAAACCAGGTAGCAAGATCTGATGACAATCTGTTGTTTGAACAACCTAGACAGGATAAAAGATAAAAGAATACACCATTGTCTCACTCTTACAACAAGATCGAGATGTTACTTGGATTACTGTTTCAATTGTGTCAAGAATAATCATTGTACACTCTGAAGCAAGATTACTTTCGATATGAGCTTCAGCTGATATTTCATCTTCACTTCTGAAAGAAAAAGACAGAAAATGAGCATAAATATGATAAGTAAGTGAGTGTGATCATGACAAAATCTTCATATTTTTCTAAAAAATCGAATCTGAACTGTTTTTATTTCAACATTTATTGACGTGTCGCTTTAATCCTTTAACTTATATCAGTCAAAACTCTAACATTTCATACCTTACAATATCAATGTTCGTTTGTCTCCAATGAGTCTGATCTTTTCGCCATCTTAGATTGCCTTTTGGTACTTCTAAAGTTAATAATGATCAAGGAATTAATCTCTTAACAAAAGAAATTTCTTCTCACTCTCATTATACCTTGTACATTTGTATTTCTCCTCCTTAACAACAATTCTGTTCTTGCATTTTGTGTACCCATAATGGCTTCTTCTAACTGTATTTTAACATTATTTGCCTTTTTCGATTGTACATGGCCACGATAACGGCGAATACATTTTTTGCCTTTATATTCGAAACTGGCCGTACATAAGTCAAGTAAATGGATAATTTTTGTCAACATTAAACGGGACACTTTCGACCACCAGTGCTTCAATTTTAATTTATCTGAATTTTTCAACAACCACAAAAAACAAATCAGCAAATCTTTTGACGTCTCTTCACCATACAATATCCGTCTCTAAATTATTGAAGAAAAAACAAGTATTATGTAATGAATGCTATGGCTAACACAAATTTAACGTATTACCATTGTTCCATCGGCTTGTTGTTGTTCGTCGTTTGAATGAGATTCATTGTTAATTTGTGACATCGTAACATCAATTGGATCATCGGTTGCAACGAAAGAAGGACGGTTTAGTTGACCTTAAGAATGAAAAAAGTTTCCATGCAGCAGTTGGAATGGTGGTATTGTGAACTATTGTGGAGAAGCTAACCAAGAATAATAATGTAAATAGATTTCATCTAGACTCCACTCTGGTCCATCACGTTTGAAAAGAAGAGTTACACTTTAGACCGAAGACTTGTGCTGATAGGCCTTTTTTTTTACTATAAATCTCATTGAACATCTTGAATATAGTACCGCAATATATCTACGAATCTCTCTTCTTTGATGCACATATAAATATTAAAAGCTGTAGACAAGAAAAGAGTTTCGTTTTAAAACAATATTCAAGTGAAATACAGAAGACTTAGCATACCAAATGATGCATTGCCTGGATCAAATAATTTTGTCAAATGTTCTGTGACAATATTAACCAATGGTAAATAGAGATGAGCCACACGTGATCGACACTCTTGACTTGTTAAACGTCCATCAAAATCATGACTGGTTAATAAATTACGTAGTGTATTTATCGCTTTACCATGCAAGACATGAGAACTAGAAACAGAATGAGAAGAACAAATTTAACTAACAAGATTAATGATTCTCATATCCTTTGATATTGGAGTTTAATTTAAACAATGAGCAAGCTTAGTTATTCTTAGAATTTTCAGCGTTGTTTTATTCTAGGAGAGGGAAAGTAGATTCATCATAGCTTGCGCATAGTAAAAAAGATCTTTATTTTTTATTAAATTTTAGATCTTTATCTTACCTTAACGTAAGTACTTTAGCTAAATCTTGAAGAACAATTCCAGTGAGATAATGTTGTTGTCTATATTCGTAAGATAAATCTGTTTGATTTTTACATTGATCTTCTGTTTGAGTACTATGAGAACTACTTCCAAATGATTGAATACTTCCGACACTTGGACTCGGTGACAGAGTGGGAGGTGAAGAGGCCGTATTCGATGTCGTAGTTGAATTTGCCGATTTTGCAGGATTAAAAGGTAAGTTTAGAGTGATATAATGTTCATGACTGCAAACGATTCGAATAAAATCTAATTTTAAATTAATGTAGTAAACGTTTTCTGTTTGATGTGTTATTTGTAAATCAAACTAAAAAGAAATTCATGTAATCAATTAGAGAGAATGCATCAAAAGTGTATCTTAAAAAGATTTATTATGAGTTTTATATAGTCCTTAGTTAAAGTTAGATGTAACTTTTTATCATATTCTCTATGGCACTGAAGAATGAACGATTTTAATAAGTGTCACGCTTTATTCAGGATAGTACACATTCTTTCAACGCTATGTCCATACATCAGTGTTGATTAGGAAAGTCAATACTTACTTCTTTACAATATGTCTTAATTAAACAGAATACAAAACCACGATCCATCAATGAAAAACAATCGTGAACAAAAAATGCCAACGAAGAATTTAATAAAGTAAAAAATTTTGCATCCTAAAAACAAAGCGAAAATAATGTTTAAGAGAAAGAATGATCAGTTTTTAACAAATTATATGTTTTATTTAAACCCATCCCTGTTATTTTATAGTTACTTACATTTGTTGTTGTCCTGTTTGTTGTTTGTCTATCAAGTAATTCTCTAGTAATTATTCTTAATAACGTATTAAGATCTTCACAAAATTGCTCAGAAAAACGTTGTTTACGCGTCAAATGAAAACGATCGTGAATATGTAAATAGTAGCCCATTGTTTTTATCTAAAAGTAAAAAAAATATAGTATCTGAGAGTTTAAAATCATGTTAAAAATTACCATACCATTAATTCAAAAAAGAACCAACTATTATTTAGTGCAAAATCTTTTGTTAAACCCGTTGAGACAACCCATTGCAATAATAATTCTTCATGTAAATGTTTTCGTTGTTGAATTTTTTGATAATTTCCATCTTTGAGTATTCCTGGTGATAGATCAACTTTTTTTGGTGATGAACCCGTTGAAAAACCAGCAACAATTTCATCTTCAGGTGATAACGACGGACTTGGTATATCTGGATTTGATGTACTTCGAGGTACGCGACGTTGTAAATATAATGTACTTGGACGTAAACTAGCCGATTTCGATGAGACTGCTACATCTACATAAATATAGACAATGGTTAAGACTAAGAATAAAATTGTTAAAAATCTTTAACATATGAAATATTATTTAATCATAATTTATGAGATGCATTCCTGCACACATTATACTGAAAAACACATATTTTCTCCCATGATAGATAAAAAGAGTATGTTTTATTAATATATAAAAAAAGAAGCATTTTCTTATTGTATCTTACATGAGAAAGTCCCGAATGTGATATTAGGCATTCATATATATATATATATGTGTGTAAACCACCAAAAATCACTAATTTCTTTAGATACAGATAACCAGTACTAGAATAATCTGCAAAAATTTGCGTTAATTCTATACGCATTAAGTCGAGACGTTATTTTAAAATATTTTTTCAATCTCTTCTAAACAATGATGCCATGCTGAAACGAAAATCATTTCCTGATACGCGTACTCTACAACTTCTATACGAGTTTGTACGTCAAAAATAGCGGACAGTTAGAGATAATTTTGCGTCTAACTACAGAAAAAAATGTTAATCACACAACATTACAGAATTTTTTCGTAAAATTATCATTCATAAACTTCTGCAATGTTTTAAAAATTTTGCAAACGTGTTACGCATTATTTTGTGAAAAATATATTAATACAAAAACATGCTTAAGACCCTTCTGTCAAAAATGCCGATTTTCTTCAGTTGTGTCAATATTGGGATCAATATATGGTCGAATACTCCAAAGTGTCCTCTTTTGAATGAACTACTTTTGGCAGCGCCAAAGTGAGTTTTTGACGGTTTGCTAGCAACTTAGTCAGACGAGATGAAAAATTCGAGTTTTTCATAATCCGTTATTCTGTTGAATCTGCGGACCAGTAAATAATTATGGGACATACATTTTGTAAAGTAAATATTTCTGATCAAAATGAGCCATCCCACGCCTCTATACGATGCTTGAATCAGAAGTTATAATTGTTTTATTAAATGTTCTAAAAGTGTTCATCATACATATCGCAAAATTAACTTTCCATTTTACAGGGTTCGGAACTTCCCAAAAATTTTTGTCCAGCAAGGTCTCACAGACCTCGCCTTGGTCTTAAATTGAACCTAACACTTGTGATTATCGGTTAGCAGAGCGCGCTTTTCGATTTTTTGACTTAGACTCTGATACAGAAAAGAGTTTATGAAAAAATTCATATAGATCTTTTTCACTTTTATTAGCTGCCGAAAAACATTTTCGCAAAATGTCAAAAATTCGACTCTGTCAATCTCTAGCTAAAAGTATTTGCATCATTTTAAAATCATTCGGAGCTCTTTAGAGTCTACCTGGAAAGAAAATTTCGAGAAGCAACAAATTTTTGTCCCTTAATGTTGCGACATATCGCGAACGGATATAGATGAAGCCAAAAAAAGACTTTCATCATCATAAGAAAGACAGAAAATGCTCTTAACTTTTAGATCAAAAACTATTTGAAGAAGAGTTCATGTGCATTAAAAACTAATGCTTCTGCCATAGATGACATACGTTATTGGAAAAATCTATTGTTATAATGGCGATGTTTGCAATTTCTGTTACACAAAATGACATAAATATTCTTCTAAGTGTGGATTTATTAGCAGATTAGAAATATCAATAATAGTAACTAACCAATGATTTAGAAGACATTTTGAGGGTATGAAAAATATTTTGTTTTTATCGTCGAGAAGCTTCTTTTGTCACATTAGTTTCTGATGCATTTTGTCATCATGAATAAATAAAAACTTTATAGAATTTTCATAAACGATAGTAAGAATCGGTGTGAACATCAATAAACTCAAATAATGTAAACAAGACTTTCTCATATGAAGAATGAAGATCAATGAAGATATAATATCTAAATCACATTTAAAGATATACGATCATGAAATATTATATACCTGAATCTGTAGTATGTAACGTGCATCCATAATGTATGTATGTGACTAATAATTTATTTCTCAAATGAGAATCATTCATATCGGGTAATAAATCTTTGATACGTTGAACGATACGAGCCAGAGATTCAAAACAAGTTTGACCTATATTAACTAAAACAAAATAAAACAATTAGAGATTTTTTAAACTAAAAATAGAATAATAAATGCATACCTATATGTCCATTCAGTACAGGCGGTCTAATTAGTAAATATAAAAGTTTATCAAAAAGGATATAAAAGAAGTGTACAAGTGCTTCTGGATTTGCCTGTACACTATTTTGTATCGACTGTTTAAATTCTTTTTCAAGTGATACACCATCGCCCATTGACGCTGTAGTACGTTGATGGTTTGGTATATTTTTTCGAATTATATTTGTTAAATGAAAAAAATTATCAAGTTTTTCATCAAGAGAATGAATTGTTGATATCGGTTTAATGGATAATGTAAATAATTGTTTATGATTATCGGCCCATTTTACACTTGGCAATTCAACTGTCGGTGGTACAAGAGAATAATTTGGTGGGGGATGTTCTTGAGCAATAGGTAAAGAATATTCACCATGAATTAAATGAGAATTACGTAAAAGAGGTAGCCACTAAAAGAAAAATAACTAAGATAAGTAAGAAAGTGGATAGTTCGTGTTGACAAATATTAATACAGACGTTACTCTACTTACCGTATATCCAATAGGTGTTTCAATGGGTTGATTTTCTTTTGGTTGACAACTAATATGACAGAAAGTAAATAATAGATGATGATTTTCATCTAATAATGCTGGTAAACGAATTTTAACTTCATCGTAAAATGATGGTGTCTTAGTATGATATAATACGGGTAAATATGTTTCTCGTACTAATTCGAGTCCAGATGATCGACCAAATATAACGGGTAATGCAAAAATTTCTTCTTCACCTGCCATAAGTTGAATTTTAATAGCAATATTTCGAACATTACCAGATGAACGTGTTACATTTGAAAAATTAAGTTGTAATGGATATAAATATAAAAGATTTCGGTAGGATGTATAAGGAACAAATATTTCTCGTGGTGAAAATTCTAACATTTCTTTGATTGGACGACGTGTTTCATCTGTATAAGGTTTTAAACGATATAAATCTGGATCTAAACAACATTCAACATCTTGACTAAGAATTTGACTAAATTCAAATTTAATAACAACTGGAATCATTTTCAATTTTTTTGCCAATGTAGGTGGTTTTCGATAATCAGACAATAATTTAAATAAATCTTCATCGTTTAGACGATCAGCTTCCTAGAAATAAATAAATAAATAATAACATAAAACAGATTATTCCAAAAATATTTGTCTACTAACCTGTTTATATACATTTTTTAACACTAACGTAATCGGTTTTTCAAAATTTGCCAATGATTGAAAAAATTCATCTTGAACTGTAGATACATTTGGCATTGTTGCTGACGATGATGAAGAATTTGATGCACCTTGTGTCATTGATGAATTAATTAGTTTATCTTCTTTTACCGATGTTTTTCGTGTTAAGCTTTCATCTCTTGAACGTCGAAAACTCTCATAGGCATTTCTCAAACCGGTTGTTGCACCCAAATTTTTTCGTTCCAAACTCGATGCTTTTGATGTTGGACTCATCGGTTCATTTATACTACTCTCACTCTCAACTTCTCTTAAAATTGATTGTAAACTAACTAAAATATTGAAAAATTACACATGTTTAACGAGAGATTAGACAAAAATCAGTAACTATCGTTTAGTAAATAATATATGAATCACTCACTTGCTTGCCAACCAAACGGTGTCCGATATTTTCCTAAACGTTGACAGTATTGAATAGCTTGCTCATAATAACGCATTTGATTCTAAAAGAGACAAAAGAAATCATTAACTTAACGAATGATCTGTTTTCATCACTGAATGAATATCTAACTAAAATTATTTGTTGTTTGTTTAAGTTTTACCTTTGTATCTTGTTTAATATACGGTTCAGCACAATCTGATAGATCACCCTGTTGAAGAATTTTCTCAATCTAAATATAATTTGATGAAAAAAAAAGAATAAAATTATTGTTAAACAGCAGATATTTGTTGAATAGTACACACCCTAATTATAAGATAAATATCGGGTGATGGAAAACTAATTTGAAATATAGCCGAACGACTAAGGGTGGATACATCCTGACAAGATGGAATATTTAACATTTGTTTCAGAGTATCAGAATTTAAATCATAATGAAAATTTTCTGATATCTAAAAATAAATAAAAATATAAATATAAGATATATTTAACAATATCAGAAATTTTTTATTCTTTACTACTATTCTAATCGTATCTATGCTATTACCTTTTTTCGTTCTTTAAAATCATATAGAGCAAGTGTCAAAAACATTGGTTCAATTTCTGGTTCTAATTTGAATTCTAAACATTTTACTTGCAATTTAAAGGTGTAACACGGTAATAGTATTTCTGGTACCATTCGATATTCAATACATTCACTCTTAAATAAGAATAAGACAAATTAAATTAATTAAATGTTAATATATCGTATTAGTGAATACAAAAAAAATCATTATGAAATTAAACTAATTTACTAACAAAATATCTTAAAAAATATATATTTCATTATTATTTTAAATAGAGTTCATATAAAAATTGTCTTAAGATTTTGCTTGTATAATATTCAAATATAGAAGCATCGTACTGTGAAATTAGGCTATATTTTCTAATAATTCTTGAAATTGAAAGACAAAATAAAACAGTCTTTCATAACATTTTACATACTTCTGCTTGAGTTGGATATGAGCTCATTAGTTTTGGATATCGATTTTTTGCTCGTAGTAATTCATTTTCTTTATCAACACTTTCGATTGGAATCCGTTCAACTATAAAAAGACAAGAGACATATTTTTATACAAAATATGCTACAAGTATCTTACTTAAATGAGGCATGATTGTATCTGGTTCTGATTTTTCTAAATCAAACTTAGACATCTCCCAACTTCCACGTGGCACCGATTCAACAGATTTTCTTGAATTATCCTAAATAGATAAATAAATCTAAAAAATGATCAGTAACAATAATGATCAAAAAAACCTTTTCTTGTTCAATAATTATTTGTTTATCGTCTAAATCGACTTCATAATCTTGTCTTGGAGTTTGTTGTAAGACGAGCATTTGTTCTGAACGTGAATTTAACAACGTTTGAGAACTACCATAATTTCCATAATTTCGTCGAAGATAATAATGTTCACCGTTAAAACTTTGTAAACAATCACGTATATGAGGATCAGACCATGCTCTATGAATTTTAAATAAAGTAGTACAATAAAGTAGCATTACAAAATTACTAAGTAAAGTATATACTCTTTTTCCGGCATTTGTGCTAATAGGGTTCTGACGTGTTTATCAAGTCGAATAAATTCAATATCATCTTGGGGATATTCTAAAATATGACGACATTGATCTCTTTCAATTGCTGAACGATTTTCTTGAACATAATCTTCAAAATCTAACGGTTCAACAAGATCAAACGATTGAGAAATCTAAATGAGTGACATAAATATAAAACAAAACAGTTAAGAAAAACAATTAACTAATGTACCCTGTTAAATGAAATCTTGACAGAGAATATTATGAAGATGATAAAAATTTTCAAAAACCTAACCGATACGCATATGAGAACCAACTAACTGAAAACAAGTTTATACCGATTGAAAATGTTATTCTGATTTAGCCGATGTCATACAACAGCGTTATGATTACTAAACAAAAAATACTTCATAAGAGTCGTACCGAATGGATAAAATTGTTTGAATCAATTCCAATTTGATCTCCAGTTTTTGGACTTGAGGAACCATTTGATAATAATGATAAGACTTCTTGAAGCTGATCACTAGAGAACCGAACAAACAGACATAGATTGTAAATTATATGCTGTAGAAGTCTAATTGACTTACCGAAGTCTAATTGTTGATGCCATCTATCTTTTGAAGGTAACGCTTGAGATCATACGATGTTCTTTCATTTCACACATCTAAAATTAACAAAGATCTTGTGCTCTTTGAATTTCACAGGTAACTGAAGTACAACAAAGTTGAGATTTTGATTTGAGCTGTAATAGAACGTCTGTTAAAACAACGTGTGAATGATAAAACTTTTTCGAACGTACATAAAAATATGGCAGAACCTGTGACAGATTATCAACGCCGCCTTTTGTTTAAGACGTATTGAACAATGCAAATCAGCAACATAACAAAGCTCTTATTTCCAGAAATACTTCTTTTAGGTAATGGCAACTACAAAAAGACTCAGAAACCAGTACACCAATACACAAAGAAATGTAGCTGTTACGAGCATTTTCAGAATCATTTCCTTCTCTCGTTTCACCGGTCGTTCATCACTGATTCCGTTCAGCAAAAGCTACAATGACATCGACGTAAGGTAACAAAATCGCCATTCTAATAGGATAAAATTTTCTACATTATATTCACTGCCAGGTTAAGAAGGGTATTAAGAGAAGGTTTTTAATTAGTATTTATCTTAGTTTTTCTCATTGAATTCATTTTTGAAAGAGACAGTTTTTCAAACGACTACTATAGATGTCGTACATACTCAAAACTACAGGTCTATTAAAACAATGGGAAAAACTATGTCCGATTCTTTTGATGTTTCCTTTAAATTCCACCTGCAATAAATTGAATAAAGAAGACTTATTCTACACTATAAGAGTTGGCCCCGTTCAGGTTCCGTGTAAAATAAAAATAAACAAAGGTTAAGGGTGAGGTTTACGTTCAAAACCTAGAAAATCTCAACTTTTTTGGTTTGTAAATTTTCTCTCCTTTCCTGTATATTCAAAATTTTTTCTTATATATAGCATGGAAATGTGCTCTTCAGAATGAGATGTATGCCAGAATTTTCCGATGATTTTCCTAGAGATATAAGCATATCTTAGAGATATAGCTACAAATGCCCTGAAAAACAAAGCCCTGTGTACAGTATGTATTTTCCTCACTATACGTTTTTTCAATAGTCCGTTGAATTGGCACACATTATGACCCCTCGAAAAAATGGTTCAGTCGAGCTCAAAATTTGACCACAGATACTTCAGACCCTATCTCAGGTTCGTTTTTTTTAAAAGCGTTTCCGATTTCAACTTTCGGTGCGAGAAGATTTTCGAAATGAAAAACCGGTTTTTTATATGGAATTTTCAGTATGTTTCGAATATCTCGAGAAAGAAAGCATATTTTCAAAAAGAAAAATATCTGAGATAGGATCTGAAGTATCTGTGGTAAGATTTTGAGCTCGATCGGACCATTTTTTCGGGGGGTCGTAATGTGTGCCAATGAAAACTGGAGTTTTCTAGAAAATCCATAGAAAAACACGTCAGAAAATTCTGGGCAAGATACATCGATTTTCTTTTTCGATGTTCTATCTCTGGTATAAATTTGAACCCGATCCGACATCGGCTTCCTCGATTTCCAAAATGGTAAAAAAAGAGGGGAGGTACCCTTAAGATAACCCAGGAGCAAACGTTGGGAGCAAATCGCCACATTCAACGTGAAAAACCACTAGAATGACGTTGATTGTAGTGATTCCCTAGGTTATCTTAACCATAAATAAAAAGGAAAAATCGTCCTATTTGATTGGATGAGCCGCCATTTTTGCCAAGCAGATCGAATAATTAGGCCTTGTTTAGGTCAGAAAAGCGGAATAAAAAGTCGAAAAAGTGAAGAAAAGCAGACACACATTTTTCACCAAACGCAAAGGATATGAAAACAAATTTTTCTAGCACTTTATGGTGGTCCCACTTAAGAAACACAAAAGAAGTACAAAACATTATTTAAATTCTAATTTGAATCGATAATGACTTTTTGCGGATGCGTGTCTTTGATCAGCCGTCATAAATTTCAAGAGGTATATATGCCAGGATAAAATTTAATTCGAAACTTTCCCGTCTATGACTATACTTAATGGTTAAGGTTTTCTGACCGAGTTGGCTCCCTTGAAACTTTAGTATTTCATTACTTTTCACACTCCTTTTCGGC